ATTATAATCCAATCATAAGAATTTAAATGGTATGATTAATTGTTGAGTTGGAAAATGTTGTTTGAAATGTTTTTAATTAATGTGGTCAAGTCATTCACACATGAGCATTGGCTTTGGTGCTGGTTTTGTATAGAGAAATGTTTGGGAAGGTGGGTTTTTGACCTTTAATAGATTTTTGTAAATAAAATCCTCATATAGAGAAATTTTTGTACCAAACTAGCTAGATTTTGTGTTAAGCTTCATGTGAATATTTGAATTACTCAAATTGGATGTGTGTGTTAAATGTTGTACATGTTTAAAGTTAATTTACTGTTCATTCTAGTTAGAATTGGTAAGTGTTATAACATCCTGAATTTCTTAATCTTGTGATTAGTTGTTAACCGAATGTAAAGTGGTAGTTAGTGTGGGATTAGAGATTTGGATGATTACTTGATAATTTAACTCACTGAAATGTTGAATGAATAGGTACAGGTGGAAGGAATGCATTTCGGGTCGAAGCAAGTGTGCATGGTAAGAATTAATCTCACTGTGTCACATGCCGTGACTTGTGTTGCATGCATCATGACGCATGGACTAGAATGACTTCTTAAGTCATGAAATTTCAAAAATTTTAAAAGGAAGAAATTGAAAACACACCAAAGGGAGAAGAAAAGAAGGGCAAGTCAACTAGAGCAAAGCATTTTAGATCATTAAAATATGCTTCTAATCGATAACTTAGCATGTAAGCTATGTATAACCCTTACCTTCCATTCTACACAAATTTCTCTAAATATGAGTTATAGAGAAATTGAATTGGTGAAGTTTTAAGGGTTTGATTCTTGCCCAATAGTTATAAAAAGGTTCTCGAGAATTAAATTAAAGCTTCGCGACTGGTTTAAAGCTGAATAATAGAACTTTGAACCCGTATGCTCAATTTGGCCTAAGTTAAAGAAAGAAAGGGGTAAAAATCTAATTTGAGTAAAATGAGACCGGTTGAGGTGATGTGAAGTAGTGATCAAGTAGTAATGGACTTAAGATGGATAAATGGAAAAGATTTAATGGCTAAGTATAACCATAAATAGTAAATATGTGTTTCTAGTCAAAATAGACTAAATGACTAAATTGTGTCAAATGTGTTCAGATTGGCATATTAAATGTGTGAGTTGAGAAAGGAAGTTTGTGATAAGCTATTGTGGTAGTTAAAATCTATAGGTAACCTTTCTAGTGACAGAAGAGTTGAGGTAACTAAATAACTTTCTTTGTTTGACTATTTATTGTAACTGTGTGTGAGTATGTCATGTAGTACATGAAAGAGTTTTGAACTAAGCATGTTTTAGAGCATTGCGTGAATGTTGCATGAAAATTCTTTTGAGCAAAGAATAGAGTAAGGAAAATGTGATTTTAAATGGTATGTAATATCTATATATGTTATGTATGAGAAAGTGTATAAGTGGTGATTGAGAACATATGTGATTTGAAAAGCATGATCATAGGGGTGAGAGTTCACCTGAGTGGAGAGGTGGTGATAAGACCCTATGGCATATTCTTCTTAGTGCTTGACGAGGTGAAGTGTTGGAGAATTGTACCTCTTTAGTATGTTTTAAGTTGCAATGTTGAAGATGACTTGCTTAATGCCTATTAAGGTACGGTGTTGGAGATATGAGACTCCTTAGTATCTGTTGATACGATGTTGGAGCCAATCCCCATTGTGTTTATTAGGGGAAATCATAGTTTAGAAGTGAGATAGAATACCTTTGGCTGGGTGATTCTACCACTAAAGGTGAGCTTAGGCCAATGAGAGTGTACATTGATCTAAGGCGAGCCTATGGTTTCGTGTCGAGGTGATTTAAAGGTTTGGTCAGCAATAATTATGCTATGTGATGCAATATGTGGCTATGTGTGGTATAAGGGGAGAAAAGTGGTAAAATAAGTGTAAAAGTGATGAAAGGTCTAATATGAGTGTTAATTGAAATGAAATATGTAATTTGTTATGTAAAATGGTATATTATGTTTTACTTTCATATAGTTGCATGTAATAGTCAGCAGGAGTGAGTTATTCCATTACTAAGATTTTTATCTCATCCTTGTAGTTACATTTTTATAGGATCAAGCAGTGATCAGGGCAAGAGAAGAGAGTTAAGACCGGCTTAGAGTCGAGAAGCCATGTTCCAGAGTTTGTGTAATGAATTGGAAAACTTGTGTTTGTATGTGTAAATAGGTTGCCATAGGATTACATGCCTATTTTAAGTGGTGATTTTGTAAAATCTTAGCACACTTGTGTATGTACGTGGTGAAATGAATCAGGGGCTATGATTTGAGTGTATATATGTTGAAAGTGTAGTGAAAATGGTGAATTTTAATTCCATGTGTGAAAATATAATGAAATGAGTAATTTGGGGCTAAGATTGAGTAATACTTATGTTATGGATGTTGTTTTATGTGTATTTGTAGAGAAAAAGGTTAAGTGGGCCAAGTTGTGTCAGGTAATGAAAAATTGTTACAAGTTGTGAAAAGTAAAAATTAGCCGTTGAGAGCTCAAATTTTGGTATATATGTGTTTATGTGATATATTGTGGTTAATTAGGTATATTAGGTCACTTGATTCAAGGGTTTGTGTGGTCTAATGAGAGAAAGGGATTGATTTGAGCACTTAAGTGCATGAAATTTTCATAAAAAGTGACTTTTTGCTCTTAGGTATCCAACTTTTAATCAAACTATTAGATCATGTCCAAACCTATCTCATTAACTAGCTTATGAGATAAGCTTCGTGTAGGCACTTGAATCACTCCGATTGAATGTTATATGTGAAAATGGCGCACGCAGAAAGTTCATCATTTTGTTGTCAAAATGACGGCAAAAATTTTGGATAGGCATGCCATGGTGCATAGTGTCATATGGCGTGGCGCATACTGCATATCACGGCGCACGTTTCCAACTTGATTTTTGTGATTTGAAATGCATACAATTGAGATAGAAATGCTTATAGATTGTGTCTACTATGCATTAATACAGATGTATTATGGTTTTTAATGATTTTGCGAAACAAATATTTGGTCAAAGCTTTTCAAATAAATTCTATGATTACTGAATTGGTGTGTTTGAGTGGTGATTCTGTTAATTTTTCCCCACACCGAATAGATATAGGAGAGAGTTACAAGTGCAATGCACTGCAATACATGTTTCCTTGGTTGTGGTGCATGCCCCTTTTGAAGAGAGTTTTCTCTATGTTGTTCGTTGTAAGGGATTATGCATCATTTTCAAAAAATGCCCTCTCAACTTCTTTCTTATCCAGAATAGTTCTTTTTACACTTTTACCCTTATATAAACTCATTTTTGGAAAATCTAGCCTCCTGAAACGATGCTTCACCACTATTCATGATTTACATCACTAATTTGGGTTTGAAACATTTGCTTTGAATGGGATCCTCTTATGTACATGTTTAACTAATTTAATTTCTTCGTAGGACTAAATTAATATACTTATTAATATACTTAATCTAATTTAACTAATAGTTGACTTTGAAAATAAATTTATTGTTATGGAAAAATATTTTCTATGATAGTAATGTTTTACAAAATCACTTTGATTCTTAATTACTATGATGGACTCCTTTATCATAGTAGGATTTTAAAATAATAATTTTTATTTTTTCTATCAAGATAAATATTGAGTTTTGACTAGTTACTATTTTTATTGGGAAAAATCTGTAAGAAAAGTTTTAGAGCATTACCACAAGCATATGACATGTTCAGAGTTCTTGTCAGATATTAATTTTTTTATTCTTAATTGATTTTCTACTTTTAAAATAATTAATCGTTAATAGCTACAAAGCCATTATCAATTATCAAATGGAGTTTCACAAGTGAAGTGTTTGGATGATTTTTTTTTTTCAAGATGGAATTTATATATTGAAGGTTGATTAATTTTTTTGGAAGTATAAAAGGAGATAAAAAATTGTAGGTCTAATTACCTTCAAAAAGTTTTAAATTGATTTCTTTTCTAAGTTTTATACTTGTTTGTGCATTAATTATATTTGAAATGCCAATCATATTTTAAATTTGTTCAACTTAATAAAATTCACAATGTTGTTTGTTTGACCAAAATTTTAATGTAAATCTTCATGGAACTAATATTTTACTCATTTTATATTAGCTATTACGACCCATCTACTTGTAGACCACAACAAGTTGAGTCATAATTGATTATGAAAAGTATTCAAATATATCCTAAGTTTTTTGCTTTAAAAAAGGAAAATATATTAATAATAAAAGAGAATAGTTTGCAATATCAAAGATAAAACAGAAATATTAGAAGAAGAAAAATTAGCAAGAAAAGACAAGCCATGTGGATTATGTTTCTTAATAGTATAACTATTAACGTTCTTCAAAAGGTTTGCAATATCTTGATCTGTCCACAAGGTATTGCCGGTTAGAGCAAAAGCAAACATCCCTTGTTATATCTGATCCTTGAATTATTTTGAAAGGATCGAAGAATTTTGGGAATTTGAGGATCAAACATACCCCAAGTCTCACCACTACTATTGTAGACATGACATGTAGGATAACATTATTTACTTAACATTTTACCAGAAATTTATTTATTTATTTTTTAAATTTGGATAATATGCAGGATAACATTATTGACTTCACATGGATACCGCACCATGATCATGAAGTCACTAAAGGAGGCTATATCATAATATTTATATACGTCGATTATACCACGTGAATAATTTAAATACCCAGAGCATCATACGACAAATCCCGTAATAAAATATTAAAAACCATCTGAAAAAACCCATTAATCATAATATTTATCTACGTCGATTATACCACGTGAATGATAATGCAAAAATTGGAACTTTCATGGAAATTCTGAACAGGTTTTTTTATTCAATTATACATAACGCCCCAAGGACTATCATATACATATATATATATATATATATATATATATGTATATATGTATGAACTGTTATATGTTCGCTTGTGAAACAGAAATATCATCTCATTTACAAGAAGATGGATTACCAGGCCACTTTTGAGTCCGACATTGTTCTTCTACAGTCAGTCGAGAGCTACCTTCTTGATGACGACTCCAATGCTCTCATTGCATTTCCAGCCACATTCGCCGGCAACGCTCCTGTTTGCCTTCAGAGTTCTAGCGGCGGGATGGCGGCAAACAGCGATGGCGAGATTAGCTCTCCGTCTTTCTCGTCGGAACAAGCTAACATTGAGGTTTTCTGTGCAGATGCAGCGGTGCGTGGAGTTAACGCGCCACCGAGTGGGAGAGGCTACAGGGAGTGAGGCGGAGGCCGTGGGGCAAATACGCGGCGGAGATTAGAGAGCCAAAGAAGAACGGCGCGAGAGTGTGGCTTGGGACTTACGAGGCTGCTGAGGGCGCGGCTTTGGCTTACGATCGAGCCGCTTTCAAGATGCGTGGCTCCAAAGCCAAGCTGAATTTTCCTCATCTTATTGGCTCGAACATGTCGGAGCCACCAAGCGTGACTGGAAAGCGGCGGCTGCCGGAGTTTAGAGGAGGCATCAATGAAAATGAAGAGGGGAAAGAGCCGAGCGAACATGCTGAAGTGGGATACATACATGTGAGCCAAGTGATGGAAGCCAAGCCGTGGAGTTGGGTTGGGGATGGGTTCTAACTTCTAATTCTATGGAAATTTTTTTTAATAAATATTTTTTAATATGGACTCGTTAATCATTTATCCTTATAATTTTGATCTAATTATAACTTAATCTCTAAATTTTGACTTATAATTCAATTCTTGAAGTTTTGACTCGGTTGTAAATCAATTCCTAAACTTTGCCTCTTATAATTTAATCCTTAAAATTTCAACCTTTTAAATATTGATCCCTATATTTTTAAAAAATAAAATTATACAAATTAAAAATATTTTAAAATTTATTACTAATATCTTAAATTACTAAACCCTTTTAATATTTATAAATATTATAAAGAATTAATGAATGAATAAGATTCTAAACTTTTGTTTGAAAATCGCCATAGATCCTAAATTCTTATAAACTCATAGCAAAATAAATCTTGATCACTAACTTTTTTTGACACCGTTACTGTCCACGCGTGTACTGTAACATTCAAAGTTAAATTCGTAAAAAAGTAAACCCTAAACAATACCAACATTGATAGTAACAGTATTAAGGTTTATTTTGCTTTGAATTTAAAATTTTAAGATTTATTTTGCATATTTTAAGAATTTAGAATCCATGATAATTTTTGAATAATAATTCAATAAATATTAAAAGTTTAAAATATTTTTAATCTTTTTAATTTATTTCTTAAAACATATGGATTAATATTTAAGAGGTTGAAATTTCAAGAACTAAATTATAAGAAACAAAGTTAAAGGACTAATCTATAATAGAGTCAAAACTTTAAAAATTAAATTATAATAAGTCTAAAATCAAGGCTGAATTATAATTAAATCAAAACTATAAAAATTAAATAATTATATATATATATATATATATATCAGAGAATACAAACACAAGTTGAGAAAGAGAATTTTTAATAGATCTCACCCAACATACAAGGCCAACGGGACTTCTTTCTGACTTATTTTTCTGTTTTTGATATCTAAATTTGGTTGACATGAAATTACAACATTGGATTTTTTTTTTTTTAAATTTCACTTTTCATATAGATTGATGTCTATTTTCTTTGCTTGACTGCCTCAATCCTAATATATAAAATATTTTTAATTAAAATCGCATATATCAATGAAACTTATTAAATATACTTTATGTTTTACAACTTTATTTTTTAACATAAAAATATAAACTTCTAAAAATATCATTCATTTAATATTTTATTTTTGAAACAATATTAAAGAGAGAAAGCAAATATAAAAAAAAATATCATTAATAAAATTTTATACTTGTCAAAATATCTTATATTTTAATATGTCAAATTTCACTAAAAAATATCTTATAAATTAAAATAGATAAAGTATTTAAAATTTACTAGGAGAAAAAACCCAAGTCCAAGTTAAGAGAAATAGCAATTTAACTATCATGGGGTGTTCATTGTGCTTTCTCAAAAGCTGTAGATATTTTGCCCTTGTCTTCTTTTCCCCCATATAGATTAATGTTTTCTTGTAACTAATAAAGGCATGTTTACTAATTTTTCTCCAGATCTATTATTGATCAGTTTATCTTCGTTTAATAACCAGCAACAAGTTTAAATTTCTCTTGTTTTGCTGATTGACTTATTTGAAGAACAGAATCAAGCAGGACAACGGTAAAAGCTTCTTATTTCTTTTAAGGAAAATATCATTCAAGGACTATGAAAGCAATTTAATATCAAATAAAAATAAAAAAAATTTAAAATATCAATAAAACTAGAGGACTGATTTAAAAATAATTTTAGATAATAAAAACTGATAATACCCTTATTTTTCTGTTTTAAAAAAACTTCTCAAATAATGAATAGTTTCTTATAAAATATAAATTAATATTTATTAATTAATGAATGATTACTTATTCTTATTAAATACAATCAACACTTATCCCTTTTCACTATCAATTTTTTTCAAATTCTTAAACTTGTCAATTAATAAACGATCTATTATTAAATATAAATAAATACTTGTTAATTAATGAATAATTACTTGTTTAAACAGAATATAAAATTATCCCTACACACAATTAAATTCTTTTAAATTTTTAAACTTATTAATTAATGAATAACTTCTTGTTAAATATAAATGTACATTTGTTAATTTATAAATAGCTATTTGTCAATCAAAAAAGGAAAGATAGGGATCTTATAATCTTTTCTCATACAAAATTATTTTCAAATCAATCCACTAATCCTACAATAATATTTCAAAATCTTTTTATTATTGATTGATATTAAATATCCTCAATGATCCTTGACTGTAGGCATGAGGTTGCAACTGTTGCTTTCAGTTGTGCGAAATGATAAGTATAAAGCTAGAAATTTCAGCCTAAAAAAAAAAAAAAAAACAAGGAGCCGAAGAAAGAAAGAAAGAAAACATTTCTTATGTTACGAATAGGTTGAAGAAAAAGTGAAAAACTGCTTTATTGCAGGAGTTAACTTTGGTCACAAAAGAAAGTGTAGTCAAGTACCAGGACTACCTAACATACCAGACTCCAGGAACCTGCACGCACCACTATGGCTTTCAATGCATCCAAGGGGAAAAGAAAGAAACTGTCAGCTAAAAAGACTAGATGAACAGTAACCAAGAACTGGGAGAAAAAGACCAGCAAGAAAATTAGAAGAAATCAGAAACTTACTGACTTCTGATTAATCCATACTCCTAGTGGAGTGCCTAAAAAAATCTGGCTTGCTTCTTGCTCCAACTGAAGAAGTACAGACTAGCTACCAAATTCCCAAGTGTTAATCAAGGGATCAGAGAGAGCTGTTATTTGTGATTCCAGAATACTGTCTTCTTTTTTCTTCTCTCTCTCTTCTTTTTCTTTTTTAATCTCAAAGTATATATTAAAATAGCCTCGGCGTGTCACAAATGTCAAAAAATCATGGTATCCGTGACACCCAATGATTCGGAGGACTATCTCCAGGACCACCAAAGATCATGAAGCGCCCTGTTTATCAGTTGCTTTGTAGGAAAGCATCTTCTGTACATAGAACATCATGTAACTTTGGGCAGCCCTGACAATGTTCTCATCAACCTGAGTGACCCAAGCATCATCGCACTTGTACCATTGATTGCCTAACCGCAAATAAGTCACGTAATGACCAGCATCTAGCCTACCTGAGTGAGTGACAACGGCAAACAACTCAAACTCTGATGCCAACTCACTGGCAGCATCAGGCTCATCATCATCAAAAGGAAAGATTCTGTTCCCAAAACGGCTCCTTAGGATTGAAGATGAAAGGTAGGGTGACATGTCAAGTGACAAGGGAAATTGCAAATAGCGGTCCACCTTCCTTGACATCTTTCTTGTTGAAGAATGCTCAAATCTTTTTATATGGAAGCAAGAAACTAGGGGAAGCTTTCTTATGGACATTTGCTTTAGAGATTCCTGCCTCACTTGACACTGTTGACAGAAAAACTTTTGGTCTGACCCCAGTCTCTCCGCTCTTGTAAATTGCTCCAGGCAACCCCTCAGAGTTGACGTCCCACAGGTTTGACTTGGTTTCATGCAATCCGACTCACCATTGCAAGAATGTTTTGATGCTGTGGTAGCCATCTTGGCAGAACCCCCTTGGTTTGGTTCCAAATCCAGTGAGATGTCAACGCAAGGGTCATAAGTTGTCGAAGTGAAACCACATGCCATACACATAACATCAGAGCGCAAGATACCAGAAAACACCCTATGAGCAATGCAACAGTCTCCATGGCCTGTGCCATCAAGGAAATGGGGTCACGTAAATGTTGCAATAGAATCAAATGGTATAATTTTAAGAACTCGTCTACCAAAGCTTATTTTACTTTTCAGCTATTGCATTCAAATTGTCCAACAGAAAATGATCAGGCATTGAAATTGTAAAACTAGTATTATGGTATAATCCCCTGACATGCACAAAAAGAATTATTCATGCTTTCTTCAGAATTCAATGTTGTGTTAAATGAAGAAAATAAAGGGCAGATAAATGAGTCCTCGTACATAGTAGCCTAGCACCCTAGCTTGACAATCTCAACTACTAATCTCATACTTCATTATCATTTAAGCACGTCTCAATGACTTAACTTCAACATATAAAAATATATTCACTGATATCTACACTTGCCGTTGGTACAAAAAATAGTTTCATCTTAAAGCCTCTTGAAATTGAGAGTGAGAGAACTTTGCACGAGTCAATTTAACAGAAGTTCCATTATTATCCTCTTGGACCACTCCAAAATCCAAGGGTCAGTCCGAAAAAAGCAAATTCCTTACACACAGAACTTGTGTACATCTGCCTAAACTTATACGCTTCTAAACACTGTTTTCCAGTGAGATTCAAACATATCAAAATGGAACCAAGCGAACATAACTGCATCACAACAAATAGAAGAAAAGGGTGTTTTGGCCTTTCAGGAGCATATGACAAAATCTCAAGCAAAAAGAACTAAATCAATATCCGCCAAAATCTTAATCATGGTAGAGTGCGCTCCTATGGATTCCAACACAATAGTGATGTATGGGTCTGATGCAATTTTTCCTCCAAGCTAGGGCAAGCCTTGTTTAATTTTAATCCTAAAAATGGCAAAAGATCGAGTTAACAGGAGCATCATTTGAGCTAATTATCCTATATGAAGAAACCATGCTAGAGAGATGTTGACTTACAGGGACTCACTGGTGTGAAGCAGTTAACGCCATCACGCCAGCAGGTTGAGGTTGATAGTTAGGCCTAATTTTTTGAGCAATGGTCAACTCCTAGAGCAACAAGCAAGAGACCTAAACCCATACCCTGCAGTTAAATGTTGAGGCAATTTTGTTATCTTGAATAGTACCTTCAATTATCTTAAATGCAAAGCAATATTAAGGGCATTGAAGTCATCAAGACAGTGACACTCCTTTGATAATCTTGCATTAGTAGGGCAGTTGCAACTATCATTATGATAAGCTAATGCCTTGGCTTGCCACCTGGTGACAATGACAACAGATTAACATCTTATACCACCTAAAGATTTGCGTACTTGGCAACACATTG